TTACAAAAAAAAAAAAAAAAGGCCTTTTCTGTAAGGTCAAAATCCACTTGCTGCTCAGAAAAAAAGGGGTACCCAAAAAGCTAGCTAACCTTTTGAATAGCTGAGCCAACCGATCCACCTGGCAACAACCCGATACCAGCAGATCTACCCGCTCCCCCTAAATGAGATTCATCGTTTCTATCCTCGTTCTCTTGGCAATCGGCAGGCCCCTCGTTGGCAATGCTCATTGAGCCCATTCCCTGCTCACAGCTCGAATCCAACAGAAAAGCCCACATTTCAGAAAGCTCGGAAGCCGATGGGCAGCCAGTGTAGCAATGAATGGCTTGCCTCTTGTGTGACAGGCCTGTGCTCGGGCCTGCGTGTCCTGTCCAATCACAGTTTTGACAGAGGGATATCTTTTCCTGTGCGCATCTAACGAAAGAAGGCTGAGAATGACATCTCTCGCAAACGAGCGTCCTCAAGTGGCGTTTGGAGAGGGCATTTGCAGAATGCACATTACGGTCACACGACAAACATAAGCTAGCAGAATCCGAACGACAATACACCATGGACCTTTGTTCCACGCAGAAATCACAAAGGTATCCCATATTTTGCGAATTGACGGTTTTGTCCTCCGATTCAGCTAAAGCTGGAGGAGAGTGGATTTTCAAAGAGCTGTACTTTCAACAGCTGACTTTTCTTTTTTCTATTGTCTTTTTTCTTTTTTAGTTCGCCGGAGACATACTGATGCCTGCATTGGAAGGCACGGGAAATTTTTTGATTGGACAGAATAAACAATTCACAAAGAGATTAGGGATATGGTAACTTGAGTTATGCCTCACACTCAACATGAACCAGGTGAATACAGCAACAGTTTATGCATATAGCCACGCTAATTTGACAATCGATATTTGAATCAGAATAAAAATACAGTCTTCAACAAGAAATGGATAATACCAGAAAGATACAGAATGTAAGGCACCTTAAATACAGAGATATTGAAAGAACTAATTCTTTAATGATATGTATTGCAATATAATTACATCCCACACACACAAAATCAAGAACCCAGACAAAAAAAGTAAGGACTTTAAATGAAAGAATAACTTGTTTCACTACAACAGGACTAGGAAGGATTATTAGTAAAACCATAAAATGTAACCTTAACAGTGTTTTCTTTCCTTTTTGCACAGAAAATGATGGAAATTCAGTTATTCATCACGAGGTAAAAAGAACGAGTCCAGGGAAGATAACAACTACATCATCCCTTTGACCAATAAAATTCATAGAAATCAAGCCGAAGACAATGAAACTTAACAACCAAATCCAATCCAGATATACACAAGTATTGAAATAACCTGAAGAAATCACATCTGAGATCAATAATCCAACGAAGAAGAGCAAAGACAAAAAAGGGTCCAATATTAACTGATGTGTTTACCTAAATTAGCCGTAAAGCCATACCAAGACTCAGGTATGAGACTAGAATCAACTGGAAGCAAAAGGAAGCACATGAGAGCACTAATAAATCTCACCTAAAATCCTAAAAAAGATCCGACCTTTCCAGAAAGGATTCTCTTTATCTCTCTCTCTCACACACACACACAGTGGATGAGGTGAAGCGAAGCTTTTCTGGGACTGGATTGTTTTGTTCAAGTTGAGACAAGAAGCTCCAAAGATAAAATAAAAATATCTGATGAAAAAGTGATAAAAAGTGCTTGAGGGAGAAAGCAGATGGGCCCCATGAAAGAGAGAGGCATGCGCTTTTGCCACTTGACCCCCAAACCCACAAAACCAAGAAAATAAAAATATCTCATTTAAGATACTTCCAGTCTAGTTTATTATATTTATATTTTTTGTATGTACATATATTTGTTTGCACTCATGTTTAGAAAAAACATATTTTGTTCTTAAAAAAAAATATTATGAAACATGACGAGATGAATACAAAATTGCCCAAATTAATGGGTTTAATATTCTTTGGTTCATTGTTCGAGTTGACATGAATAAACCCGATCGACCGAGTTTTGAGCAACTCGTCCCAAATTTTAATCGAACACGATGCAAACAAATGTGAATCATAAACCATACCCATATTCGGGTCGACTCAATCAAATCTTGAAACCACTCGTTCACGTTATATTATACTAGGTTTACAAAACAATAATTCAACCTAATGTTATGAGATTCTTCCAATATATATCATTTCCATGTATAGTTATGATAGTCATGTTCGATTCGAGTTGGATCAACAAAATCTCGAATCAACTCATTAAATCATATCGTACCGAGTTGCCATACAATGACTCAACCCATGTTATGAATTTATAAGCGACTTTTCTTTAAAAAGTATGCTTTTTTCTAAGTAACATTTATATATTAAATCATGATAGTTCAACTCTCCTATTAATTGGTGTCGTGGAAAATTAACATACCACACAACATATATATGGTTGAAAGATCACAAGATTTTGATGTGCGACTAAGATGTACTCACGTAGGTATATATATACATAATTTGTAGGCAAAAAAATGTATGGTAATTGTTTTTGTTTTTCCAATCTGTGGAATTTGTAAATCTGAATTTGTGGGAAAATATTTTTCATATCATTGAGAATTCTGTTACACTTGCAAAATGAAGGAGAAGACGACTTTATATCCGTTTCTCTTGCACCTAGACGACAGCGTTTTGTGTTACTACAAACACCACACAAAACGCATTACACTTGTAAAAACATAAAAACAAAATGCAGCTTTTCCCACATAAAACGCACACCTACTAACACAACTTAATACCTATAATGCAAGCAATACATGAAAAGGATCATATTAACA